CTTTTCTTCACAGCTTTCTTTGGGCTTTCTGCGCCATCCATGAAAAAGTTTGAACATCCTCCACGAAAGTCTCCACATGCAATGTGCTGTCATGTTTGTTTACATTTTGCTTCGCTCCTATTGGATAGTTATCTGACACATGTGAAATGCCAACTTGACCCCTCACGAGGGGCAGAATTCAAAAATCAATAGCTTGCATGCAGGCTCACTTTTCCGCGCCCCATTCTTCTCGCCGGCTTCGCCAGCTCGCTGTTGCAGCTCCACTGCCCTTGCCCGGCCCGCAATACGCTACCCAAAAACAACAAGTGAGCCTACTCACAGGCTATGCGCATATGGCGCATAAAGCTACAAAATGGCACAGTATGAAAGTACTTACTGGCCTGCAATGCGCCCTCGCCACGAAACAGCTAGTAAAATATACACTATTCTATTTCATCACCACTGCCACAGGGATCCCATGAGAATGCATCGCGCATGCGCATGTCAGTGCTTATTGCTTCGTGCCGTCAGCAAGCAGCAAAAATTTTTGCTGAATGAAATTCTGAAAAATTCCTTTTGCACTTCACTGAAACTCACTTCAGTTACGCTATCTGGAAGAACAAATCATCGACTGAAGGAACATGAGTGCTGACGACAGGGAAAAAACAGATTCCAGTGCCAACCCTTCCAGGACTAAGGAGAAAAACAGCTCGGCCGACATGGTGAACGTTTTGCAAGGCTTACAAAGCTCACTAACACAACTTGTCAAGGTTTCAAAAGCCCAAACCGAAGCTTTCAATAGCCTCAGAGAAGATATTCTCCTGCAACCCAATCCAGACGAAGAGATTGAGGAAGGCGCTTTGGATAAGACGTCCAATTCACTCGACTTAACTGCAGCCACAAATCAATTGCTCAACTCGAGCAACGGCCAAAGTCCGAAGCCCACTCACTCTGACTCAGGGTCAAAGAACGATCTTCTAGACAGCCTGACTCAGGCGCTATTGTCAACTAGCAAAAAGTCCCCTGATATTGAGGGGAAAATTGCCACACTTGTCGACAATATTCTGACTGGAGAACTGTCACAAGATTCAGTGAAAGAGAGAGGCGAGAAATATCTGCCACCTGCCTATTGCAAATATCTCACACCGACCCTGGTGAATTAAGAAATCTGCGATTTATTGACTAGAAAGAACAGGTCAGTGGATCTGGCTTTTCGATGTGTTCAGGAAGCGATTATTAATGGGTTATCCTCACTCTCAATTCTAGCCGACAGGCTATTCAACGATGTTCAGAGCGCGAAAACTGTGAACGCAAGTGATGGATAGCATTGCACTCTTTGGACATGCAAACTGGAAGCTTAACATGAAGGGCCAGGAGCTCATCAA